GGCTAACATCAGATTTCTCAGCAGAAACCTTACAGGCCAGAAGGGAGTGGCATGACATATTTAATGCAATGAAGCAGAAGGGCCTTGAACCAAGATTACCTTATCTGGCAAGACTATCATTTAAATTTGAAGGAGGGATTAAACAATTCCCAGATAAGCAATAGCTGAGAAAATTTATCTCCCACAAACCATCTCTACAGTGTATTTTGGAGAGACTCCTATAGATGGAAGTGTTCCTAAGGTATAACAGCTGTCACCACAGGTAATAAAACCACAGTAAAGAAAGTAGAAAAGCTAATTACTGAGCAAATACAAAATTAAATTAACTATCCCCAAAGTCATTCAAGGGATAGACAAAGAGTATAGAATATGATACCTAACATATAAAGAGTGGAGGAGGAAGTAAAAGGAAGAGAAAAAAAAAAGAAAGAGAAAAAAAAGAACCTTTAGATAGTGTTTGTAATAGCATATTAATTGAGTTATGTTAGACTCTTAGATAGTAAGGAAGTTAACCTTGAACCTTTGGTAACCATGAATCTAAAGCCTGCAATGGCAGTAGGTACATACTTATCGATAATCACCATAAATGTAAATCTACTGAATGCACCAATCAAAAGACACAGAGTCATTGAATGGATAAAAAAACAAGACCCATCTATATGCCTGCCTACAAGAGACTCACTTTAAACACAAAGACATACACAGACTAAAAGTGAAGGGATGGAAAAAGATATTTCATGCAACTAATAGGGAGAAAAAAGCAGGAGTTGCAGTACTTGTATCAGACAAAGTAGACTTCAAAACAAAGGAAGTAACAAGAGACACAGAAGGACATTACATAATGATAAAAGGGTCAATCGAACAAGAAGATATAACCATTTTAAATATCTATGCACCCAACACATGGGAGCACCAACATATATGAAACAAATACTAACAGATTTATAAGAGGAAATAGAATGCAATGCATTCATTCTAGGAGACTTCAACACTCCACTCACTCCAAAGGACAGATCAACCAGACAGAAAATAAGGACACATAGGCACTGAACAAACATTAGAACAGATGGGCCTAACAGACATCTACAGAACTCTACACCTAAAAGCAGCAGAATACACATTCTTCTCAAGTGCACATGGAACATTTTTAATAATAGATCATATACTAGGCCACAAAAAGAGCCTCGGTAAATTCAGAAAGATTGAAATTGTACCAACCAGTTTCTCAGACCACAAAGGTATGAAACTAGAAATAACTTATACAAAGAAAATGAAAAATCCCACAAACACAGGGAGGCTTCACAACATGCTCCTAAATAACCAACAGATCAATGACCAAATAAAAAGAGATCAAGCAATATATGGAGACAAATAACAACAATAATTCAACACCGCAAAAAATCTGTGGGACACAGTGAAGGCCATGCTAAGAGGAAAGTATACTGCAATACAGGCCTACCTCAGGAAAGAAGAACAATCCCATATGAGCAGTCTAAACTCACAATTAAGGAAACTAGAAAAAGAAGAACAAATGAGGCCCAAAGTCAGTAGAAGGAGGGACATAGTAAAGATTATGGCAGAGATAAATAAAATTGAGAAGAATAAAACAATAGAGAGAATCAATGAAAGCAAGAGCTGGTTCTTCAAGAAAATAAACAAAATAGATAAACCCATGGCCAGACTTTTCAAGAAAAAAAGAGAGTCTACTCACATAAACAGAATCAGAAATGAGAAAGGAAAAATCACTATGGACACCACAAAAATACAGAGAATTATGAGAGAATACTATGAAAAATTATATGCTAACAAGATGGATAACCTAGAAAAATGGACAACTTTCTAGAAAAATACAACCTTCCAAGGTTGACCCAGAAAGAAACCGAAAATCTGAACAGACCAATTACCAGCAATGAAATTGAACTGGCAACAAAACCTACCTAAGAACAAAACTCCTGGAAAGATGGCTTCACCGCTGAATTTTATCAAACATTTAATGAAGACCTAATATCCATCCTCCTTAAAGTTTTCCAAAGAGTAGAAGAAGAGGGAATACTTCCAAACTCATTCTATGAGGCCAGCATCACTCTAATACCAAAACCAGGCAAAGACCCCAGCAAAAAAGAAAATTACAGACCAATATCTCTGATGAACATAGATGCAAAAAAAGTCAACAAAATATTAGCCAACCAAATTCAAAAATACATCAAAAAGATCATCCATCATGATCAAGTAAGATTTATTACAGGGATGCAAGGATGGTACAACATTTGAAAATCCATCAACATCATCCACCACATCAACAAAAAGAAGGACAAAAACCACATCATCATAGCCATAGATGCTGAAAAAGCTTTTGACAAAATTCAACATCCATTCATGATAAAAACTCTCAACAAAATGGGTATAGACGGCAAGTACCTCAACATAATGAAGACCATATATGACAAACCCACAGCCAACATACTTCACAGCAAGAAGCTGAAAGCTTTTCCTTTAAGATCGGGAACAAGACAAGGATGCCCACTCTCCCCACTGTTATTCAACATAGTCCTGGAGGTCCTCGCCACGGCAATCAGACAACACAAAGAAATAAAAGTCATCCAGATTGGCAAGGAAGAAGTTAAACTGTCCGTGTTTGCAGACGACATGATATTGTACATAAAAAATCCCTAAAGAATCCACTCCAAAACTACTAGATCTAATATCTGTATTAGCAAAGTTGCAGGATACAGAATTAATATGCAGAAATCTGTTGTATCCCTATACACTAACAATGAACTAGCAGAGAGAGAAATCTGGAAAACTCATGAGAGAAATTAAAGAAGATACCAATAAATGGAAACACATCCTGTGCTCATGGATAGGAAGAATTAATATTGTCAAAATGGCCATCCTGCCTAAAGCACTCTACGGATTCAATGTAATTCCTATAAAAATACCAACAGCATTCTTCAACAAACTAGAGAAAATCATTCTAAAATTCATATGGAACCACCAAAAACCACAAATAGCCAAAGCAATCCTGAGAAGGAAGAATGAAGCTGTGGGGATTATGCTCCCCAACTTCAAGCTCTACTACAAAGCCACAGTAATCAAGACAGTTTGGTACTGGCACAAGAACAGTTCCATAGACCAATGGAACAGACTAGAGAGCCCTGATGTAAACCCAACTATATACGGTCAATTAATATATGATAAAGGAGCCATGGACATACAATGGGGAAATAACAAGCCTCTTCAACAGCTGGTGTTGGCAAAACTGGACAGCAACATGCAAGAGAACGAGACTGGATTATTGTTTAACCCCACACACAAAAGTAAACTCAAAATGGATCAAAGACCTGTGTAAGTCATGAACCATAAAACTCTTAGAAGATAACACAGGCAAACATCTCCTGAATATAAGCATGAGCAACTTCTTCCTGAACGCATCTCCTCGAGAATGGGAAACAAAAGCAAAAATGAATTCATGGGACTACATCAAACTAAAAAGTTCTGTATGGGAAAGGATACCATCAACAAAACAAAAAGGCACCCTGCAGTATGGGAGAATATATTTGTAAATGACATATCAGACAAGGGGTTAACATCCGAAGTACATAAAGAACTTAGGTTCCTCAACACCCAAAAAGCAAATAACTGACTAAAAAATGGGCAAAGAGTATGAAGAGACAGTTTTCCAAAGAAGAAACTCAGATGGCCAACAGACACATGAAAAGATGCTCCACGTCACTAATTATGAGGGAAATGCACATTAAAACCACAATGAGATATCACCTCACACCAGTAAGGATGGACAGCATAGAAAAGACTAAGAACAACAAATGCTGGCAAGGATGCAGAGGAAAGGAACCCCTCCTACACTGCTGGTGGGAATGTAAGCTAGTTCAACCATTGTGGAAAGCAATATGGAGGTTCCTCAAAAAACTCAAAATAGAAATACCATTTGACCTGGGAATCCCACTCCTTGGAATTTACCCAAAGAATACAAGTTCTCAGATTCAAAAAAGACATATGCACCCCTACATTTATCGCAGCACTTTTTACAATAGCCAAGATATGGAAGCAACCTAAGTGTCCATCAGTAGATGAATGGCTAAAGAAGGGGTGGTACATATACACAACGGAATACTATTCAGCCATAAGAAAGAAACAAATCCTACTATTTGCAACAACATGGATGGAGCTGGAAGACATTATGCTCAGTGAAATAAGCCAGGCGGAGAAAGACAAGTGCCAAATGATTTCTCCCATTGGTGGAGTATAACAATGAAGCAAAACTGAAGGCACAAAATAGCAGCAGACCCAGAGACTCCAAGAAGGAACTAGTGGTTACGAAAGGGGAGGGGTGTGGGAGGGTGGGTGGGGAGAGAGAGAAGGGGATTTAGGGGTATTATGTTTAGTATACACGGTGTGGGGGATCACGGGGAAAACAGTGTAGCACAGAGAAGGTAAATAGTGAATCTGTGGCATCTTACTACACTGATGGACAGTGACTACATTGGGGTATGGGTGGGGACTTGATTATATGGGTGAATGTAATAACCACATTGTTTTTTCATGTGAAACCTTCATTACAGTGTATATCAATAATACCTTAATAAAAAAAAATTAGTGCTTGCCAACAGAGAATAACAATGTAAAAGGCTGAAACATTCAAATTTATAGGTCTTCATACAGCAAAGAGTGAAATATATTAAAGAAATTTTTGTACATAAATACATTGCAGCCATGAAGTCTTTCTGTAATAATAAGATCAAAAAATCTTTCAACTTATAAAACAAATGCCAAAGTTCAGGGTGCAAAAGGTCAGTTTAAAAAATCTTAAGGGCAGAATTTAACTATGAGACAAGCACCAACTATTAGTATTTCTCCCTAAAAGCTGTACTGTTATTTAGAATTAGACTGTCACATGCTTCATTCATTGTATTTTGGGAAAGTCTGATAATGCAGCACCCTGAAGGAATCCATGACTTCTCAATGTAGAGCAATGTACCTACTTTCTTCTGGGTCCTCACTGGCTAGGATGCTGCTGGAAAGGTCCTGGACAGCAGCTCGTGACTCAGTTGTAGAATGATGAGGCCCTAGGCGACTGTCCCTCTGGGCTTCCCATTCTTCACTGAAGCCGCCATCGTCACTCTCTGTCACAGGGTCTTGTGATTCACTTTCTGTGCCTTTAAGAGAAAGTGTAAATTACAGCTCTTTAACACTAAGAAAAATATCTTAAAACCTTTAAAAAAACATGAAGCAGTAACTACCTGACTATGATTGTAAGCAGGTTAGATGGCTCTTAAACCACAAATTACGGACTGTTAAAGTACCTGTTGGTTGCCTATCCAATAGCTATTTTCCTCCTCATTTCCTGAAGACAGAGTCCTGATTTGTTTGGGTTTCTCACCCATGGGACCCTGGTGGTAAATTCCGATCAGTCCAAGTCAAGTGTTGTGCTCCCACCATTCCTCTTCCCAGTGGAAGCCGTAGGTGTAGGGTTGGTACTGGCCAGTGTGTGGGGAGGTAAAGCCTATTGTGTATTCTCAGAAATCTTTCTCATTCTTCAAGAGAGACTCAAGGAAGAAACAAATAGCTCCTTTCTTCCCCTGGATGTTATCTTATCTGGATATGATGCTTGGAACTGCAGCTGTCATCTTCTGACCATTAGGAACAGTGGGCTGAGAGCCAAATCTACATCTAAGGATGGCAGATGCAGAGCAGGAAGGCAGAAATAATCACATCAACAAGCCACAAAAATTAATTAACCATACAAATAACTACACCTCAGGACTTCTGATCACAGGCAAGAACACATTTCTTCTTTGTTTAAAGCAACCAAGTTGGGTTTTCTGGTTTTTACAGCTGAAAGCTTCCTAATTGATAGCATTCACCACTGGCTTTACTCAGTTAGAAAATAAATGATTTTTGGGCTGGCAGGATGGGAAAGGAGGGAATTAATTTTTTTATGGGCTTGTCATTTTGTTATAATAACTGCTGATCTGTGGAGAAAGACAAGTACCAAATGATTCCACTCATTTGTGGAGTATAACAACAAAGCAAAACTGAAGGAACAAAACAGCAGCAGTCTCACAGACTCCAAGAAGGGACTAGCGATTATCAAAGGGAAGGGGTTGGGGAGGGAGGAAGAAGGGGATTAGGGGGCATTATAATTAGCACATACAATACAGGTAGGTCACTGGGAAGGCAGTACAGCACAGTGAAGACAAATAATGACCCTACAGCATCTTACTAAGCTGATGGATAGTGATTGCAATGGGGTCAGGCAGGGGGACAACTGGATAATATGGGTGAATGTTGAAATCACAATGTTGCTCATGTGAAATCTTCATAAGATTGTATATCAATGATACCTTAATTAAAAATATATATATATAAAAAATAACTGCCAATCTGAGAATTGTGAGCACAACATGATATGAGAACCTTCCATACACCAAAACTATTTAAAGTTTAATTGAGAATACTTTTCTTTTATTTTTTAAGAATGTAATGAATGTTCATAGCAGAGTTAGATTTACCATACATCAATAAAGCTTGTACACTTCAGATCTCTCACTTGCAAGGACTCCTTCTGGGAGGAGCCCTAGCAATTTTGTATTTGTAATTTGTATTCTTTTTCTTTTTTCTTTCTTTTCTTAACCAGGTCTCCAGAAAACTTCAATCTTCCCTAGTTTGGAACTTGTAAAATCATGGAAGTATAAGACTTATAAATAAAAGCAGCAGTTCCTGTTCTGTGCCATCCCTCCTCACTCCTGGTCTTCCCTCCACTTTCAACCTCTCCAACTATTTCTTTTGGTATTTACCTCCATAAGGAATTAGAAATATATGCACAGAGTACTATATCTTGGTGTTTTATTTTAGATACTTAGTCACTTCCTACAGGAAAGATGAAGCATTGTCTCTCATTGTCTTAAGCACACAAATTTTGCTTCTTTTGTACTTTCAGTTTTCCCTGGAAAATGGACTCATTTTTTTCCCCTAATTAATTTTCCCTGTATTACCTATGCCTAATTCATCCTCGAACTCTCTGAGTTTTCAAACACTCAGGTATCCTCTCAGGTGCATATTTTTTTCCATGTACAGACATCCCTTTGGAGCCCTATGTCCTTTTGTCCAATCTAACTTCTAGTTCTTCTAACATAATGGTTTTTCAACTGGGAGCAGTAGCTCCCTTCCAGGGGGTGTTTGAAAAGAATTCGGAGGGAGGAGTTTTTGGTTATTACATATGGCAAAGCCCCATCAGCACTAAGAGAGCGAGCAGCTGGGAATGCTAACCATCCTGCACAGTGACGGAAGCCCACACAATGAGCTGCCCCACCCCAAATCCCAGCAGCATTCCGGAGGCACTCCGCAGGTCACCAGCTCCTCACTTCAAGGCCCTCACCCATATTGTTTCCTCTCCTGGAAGACTCTTCTGCTCTTCAGCTGGCCATCTCCTATTATTACTTCCTCAGGGAAGCATTCCTTGACTTTCCAGTATAAACAAAATTCCTCTATCATAAACTTTCATCACAACTTAACACTTCTCTTTTGCAGTGATAACACTGCATGAATTTATTTGTGGAATTATTTGTTGAACATTTGTGTCACCCCAAGTAGGTCACAAATTTCACAGGGATGGGATATCTCATTTAGGGCTACACCCCAGTACCAGCAAAATTCCAGGTACACAGTTAGCTGCTGAATCAATATTGGTCAAAAGAATAAAATCTTGACATTCCAAAAACACATTCACACTCACATATTAATAAACATATACTCATTGACAACTAATCTTTTCCTTTCTTTATCTTCACACAATAATCAGACTTTTAGCAACTGTATCCAATATATTTCCTCCTCCTCTGCTCCGTCTACTCCTGATCTAATGCCACCTTGTTCTGCTGTCTTGCTCACTGAAGAATGGGACTGGTATGTTTAGGTCCCAAAGAGAATTCTGTTTTAAGAGTCCTCCTCATAGGTAACCAAATGCTAAATTAGCAGTTTTCTTGGCGCTATAAAACCTAACTCCTCTTTCCTTACAAAAGCAACTCAATTGAGGCCCTTTTTTCTTCTCTCATCTATCTTTACTTTGCCTGCTTTTTCAAAAAAAAAAAAAAAAGCTCTTTGTTTTTCTTCAACAACAACAAAAAGTTTCCTTTCTTCTTGACTATTTATATTGTGCTATTATTCAACTCCTCCTAATAGCAACTCCGAACTTACGTTCTCCTTAACATTGTCTGTCCACCCACAAGTGGGCCTTTCGATCTCCCATCCTAAGTCATTATTCTTATCCTCATCCAGAAAGTCATGTCCACCTGGAATATTTTATCTTCTCAGTATGAACATTAACACATCTCAAATCAAAGTATATTTAAGTTATGGAATGGGAATCTCATCCTGTGCTAGACCCCCAGGTCAGACCAGAGGTTCTCATCTTAAGATGTTTGGAGAGTTGAGCTTATTTTTCTTTTTTAAATCATAGCCTCAAATTAACACTTCCATTCTGGTATTACCAGCATTTAATGGCAGAAATTCTTAGCCTACAGTGCCTTGGCTGTATTACTGGTTTTGGAGCACCTGAATTCCTTATATTGCCTATATTTACTGTGTGATACCACAGTTTTCAGGAGATTCTCAAAAGAGCCCATAACCAAAGAATGAAGTTAAAATCATTGTTTCCTAACTCACTGTTAGCCCCTAAGATGCAAAGGCCCCCCTCCTCCCGCAACCAGGAAATTACCAAATGAAAGTCACCTACTTTGTGCATTATAATTGGAGTTTTTGGATACCTTCCTTTGGGCTTCTGGGTCTCCTTCTGCCATATTCACCAACCACACCATTGTCGCTGTTGAGAAAGACAAAAGATTAGGTAAGCGCTGGAAACACAGAGGGAAGTACGTAAGTAGAGAGCATTTACTGTGGCTGCTATTTTAAAGCTGTTTATTATAGTCCCTGAAAAGTAACCAGAGAAAAAACAGCAAGACTCCACTGAAACGATAGCTGGACTAGCTGAATATCCTAAAACAGTGTGAATTCATTGATGAAAATTACTTACTGGAACTGAAGTAGAGGATTAACTGGGGCTCACAATAGCATCAGATGATCATTATTCTAAAGATGCAAGGAATAAGTTTCCTTCATATCATGCCTCACTTCTGGGGTTTCTAGTAATGTTAAATTGTGTTATATACAAGGAATAAGAAAAAAAAAGGCTAAAAGCAATAAACAAAGTGGATAGTCATTCGGTCTCTTCTATGTCCCTTCCACATAAATACATATATATCTATATAGACAAAGATATAGACAATCTCTATCATGTTTTAGAGGCATTGTGAAAATTTTAAATGTTACTTCTCATATACTGTAGGTGGGATGAAAGATGGTAACGCCCCTATTGGAGAGGAATTTGGTTAACATCTAACAAAACTACATCTGATTAACCCTTTGACCCAGGAATACCACTTTTGGGAATTAATCCAGAAGACACACCAATCAGTAACAACACAAAACTCCATATAAACATGAACCACACACAGCTACTGCAGGAACCGAACACCAGAGGCAACCTGAATCCAGTCTGGTCATAGCAAGCAATTTTAAGCAAGATACTTGGCATTTATGTCCTTTGACTTTTTATCACTGATTTTATAATTATATCCATGTTCCTAATACTCCTAGGCATCTTGCATAACTTACAAAAGAAACACAAAACCAAAGAGGCTGAAAATTCCGTAACAGCCACACCTACACAATTCACCAAGGCTTTATAATTTTGATATCAAACAAGTCTCATTATATGATAACCCAACTTACATTCATCAAAGTCAACATAAGCCATGCAGGCAATACACTATTTAGCTAAATCCAAACCCAAGAAACACATGAGCCACCACGAGGCACAAGGCTTATGAACTTCTGTAGCCTTCTTGACAGTGAAAGTAGGTATTTAAGTGATTTTCTTTCTTTATGCAAGTATGGAAAAATACAATTAAACTCTTTTAACATTTTAGTATTACCATGGAAGTTGGGTCAGCAAACGTTTTCTGTAAAAGGCCAGGTAGTAAACATTTTGGGCTTGTGGGTCACGTCTGATCTGTTAATGTTCTCCTTGTTCTTTTCTTTTTTACTGACACCTCTTTAAAACTGAAAAAATCATTCTTAGTTCAGAGAACCATAAAAAATAGGCTATGGGCCAGATTTGACCTCAGGTAGTACTTTCCTAACCCCTGATACAAATCATCATGAACAGAATATGTATTTGTTGAATAAATTAACATTACTAAAATAATATCTAAGAAACCTATTCTTGGTCTTTCAGCTTAACAAAACCAAACATCTTAGAGCAACAGAAAAATACGTAACTTAAAAAAAAAAGTTTTTCTTAGCAAGAGAAATCATGGAATTTATTGGGTTAAAGTAAAAAGTACACTCTTGAGACAGGAGTGTGGGCTATCTGGAATACAGAAGGAGCCCTAAAAATTTAATATAATCTAAAAATTCCCCAAACTGACAGGAAATCAAAGAAAAGCTTTTACATAAAATGGTCTACCTCAAGGGACTGTAAGCTTCATTTTTTTTTATTAAGGTATCATTGATATACACTCTTATGAAGGTTTCACATGAAAAACATTGTGGTTACTACATTCACCCATATTATCAAGTCTATGCCCATTGAAGTCACTGTCCATCAGTGTAGCAAGATGCCACAGAGTCACTACTTGTCTTCTTTGTTTCAAGCTTCATTTTTGATAAGCTATCATAGTAGACCACTTTTGCTAGTAATACTAGGGAAGAACAATTTAGTTTAAAAAGTGAGTGTACATTATTCCTATAAGAACAATGAGAACAGAAAACAGAACTGCTCACAGTTCCTAAGGGTAAGACCCTTTTTGCAACTGAACATCCTTAACTGGGGAAGAGTATACAAATACATAAAAGTGTTGTCTCTTTAAAGAAATAGCCGAGAAGACTGATTTAATATTTTTCATATTCATGTTTATACCAACGTTAGGGAAAAAGTAGTCACCAATACTGCTGTTTTTTAACATTCTGTTTAAAAAAAAATGCCCCCTCAAACTCAATGACTTACAAAATCCTCACCACAGATTTGTATTTCATGAGAACAGGTGCTTTCTTGAATCTATCTGATCTATACAGGAGGTAAAGGCTTATGCTTATATTTTTCTATATATGTTGCATTATGGTTAAAATATCTCAATGTCAAATGTTATACAGACTCAAGTCTTTAAAATTATATATGAATGATATTTTAAAACAATAGAGTAAATGCTTATTTTCTGAGTATCCAATTAACATACGTGTTTAATGTTGTGGCAGACTGAAAGAATAATTCTTCACCCCTCCTAATTCTTGCACCCACACTCTTGTCATGGGCTCATTGTAAGTGGAATGCAGTTTTCCTCTTCCTGGCCTGGGGCTCAGCAGATGGCATGTGGGCAGAAGTGACAGTGTGCTAATATCAAGCCTAGGTATTAAAAGGCCCTTTTGTCCTCGTGCTCTTCTAGCTGTTAAGAAGAACATGTCTTCAGGAGCCCAACTGATTGATGGAGAGGATGGGGAATAAGTTGGGGATGGGGATAAGTTGATATTGGGGTGATGACGAATGACTATTATTTTTAAGGCACTGAGGTTTGAGGTGGTTTGTTACACAGTATTATTGTAGCAATAGATAATAGCAGATACAACAGCAGGGCAATGTAAAATTATGAAGCAAAGAAAAATTTACAAACTCACAATCCCTTCACTTTGATACCCACAGTTAACTTTTTAAAAAATATAAATTCAATTACAACTCTGTAGAGAAAGGTATAAAGAAAAACTTGAAATTTTGTTTCCCCAATCTCTAAATCTCACTTCCTAGAGGTAAACACTTCATTATCAGTTTTTTAAGTCATTGTGATTTCATATACACAGACACGTATGTACACAGGCTCCTTCCATAGGCTATTGCATGTACTGTTTTAAATCTTGCTTTTTATACTTACCATATAATCTTTGACATTATGATTGGACATATATAGAGCTATAACATTCTTTTTAATGGTGGCACAATTATCCATTGTATGAATGTACCATAATTATTTGAAAATGTCCCCTTCTGCTGGATACTTAGGTTACTTCCAGTTTTTCTTAATAGAAGCATTGCTTCAGTGAACATCTTTCTATACTTTTGCAAGTATACCCCTTAGTCTAAATTCCTGGAATTCACTATTAATATTTGGTGGAACATTCTGTCTGCACAAATATGAAATATATAAATAGATTTTAATTTCCAGGAATAATACACAAGATGCTCACACTCAAATGTTAATTAAGAGGAAAATGTTGATGCTCAAAACTTCATCTGCTCTTGCCTGCCAAAAAACACAGAAAGTACATGATAATAAATTTATATTAGAAAAAGAGTAAAACAAAGACCGTTTCAGACAGTGGGTGTTCTAAAACGTTATCAGACTCCTCTAGCTACAAGCACAATCCCCACCTTCTTGACTTCCCACAAATGACCTAACACTGAGTTCACAAGAAGACTGAGGTCAACTAACATGTGCTTCCAACTTAACTTCTGTTTCCCTTTGTCACTACCTTCTGCTTCTCTGTGTTCCTCTTCCTTCCTTCCAGGTCTTTCCCTTCTCTCATCTATTTCCTTTTCCTGAACAAACATGACCAGAGCAATTTCTACCTTCTTTGTTGTTACTCTTGCCTGTTAAATATTCCTCTGGCTGGTCTCCTCAAAGTCCTTCTCCAATGGCTCCTTCCCCTCAACTTCAGAAACATGATTAAATCTTCTCTCTCCCAGATACACCACCCTCAAACCACTGCTCTGCCTGTGAGACAGTAATCTCTGCAGCAGGTGGTACTTACTATATCTCTCTCCCTTCCCCACCCATCCTCTGTCCACACCATCACTTCCATTGCCAGTGCCAGCAGCAGCAAAACAGACACACACCCTTCCCTCCCTTTTGGAGCACTGCTTCTGGTCCTATCACTCTACTGAAATTGCTCTCATAAATGTCACAAAAGAAGTCTAAGGCACCAAATTCTATATGGTTTACTCAGCCCTCATTATCTCTGACTTCTTTGTAGCATTTAACATTCTCTCCTTAATGAGCTCTGCTTTTCCAACAGTCCAACAGGAAAAAAAAAAAAAGAGAAGAAAAGGAAAGTCTGTAAGGATACATATCAAATTGATAACAGGGGTAAATGCTTGGCAGGGTACTAAGATTGAGGATGACAGTTATAGTGAAATTACACTTCATTTTATTTTTTTCAGGATAATGTATTAACGTACTACTTATATAATTAAAATTAATTTTAATATAATTAAAATTAATTTTAAATATGGAAAAGATATTATACCAAGATAGTCACAAAACAAGATACACAGATATATAACTAAGAAACACATGGAAAAAATGTCCAAATAATCACAAATAGTATTATATAACTATTATTAACTTAGACCTATTAGTTATTCAGCCAAGATACAAAATAAAACAAGAGGCTGTTTTTGCTTGTTAGTTTCACTCACACACACACACACACACACACACACACACACATAACAATGAAGGTGTAAGGAAATTGGTACCTTCACACTACTAAAGGAAACACAAACTGGTCCAGTCTTTTTAGGAGGTGATTGGTATTATCTATCAAAATGTGGAGGCACACCTCCTTTGACTTAGCAGTTCCACTTGTAAGAATATATCTTACAACAATATTCACAATTTCATGGATGCTCTCTGCAAGCATTGCTTATGACAGAAAAGAAATGGAAATTATCTAAGTATCTTTCACGAAGGACACTGTTTATTAAATATCTATATAAAAGAATACTACGAAGCCATTTCATGTGCTGACGTGCAAATATAGTCATGATATTGCTAAGTAAAAAATGCTGGCTATCCCAATTTTCTGTATTTTCTTCTCTTCCCTTTACTATTTTCTCTTCATCCTCTCACTCTAAACATTAGTGACAAAGTTCTATCCTTAGCATTCTATTCTCTTCTACTTCTATTTGAATCGCTTATCTGCTCCCACAGCTTCAACTATTACCTCTATGCTGATGTTCTTCAATTATGCATCTCTAATATCAACCTTTTCCCAGCACTGGTACTTCATTTCTAAACTCCTGCTGGAAATTTCTACCTGGATGGCTCACAGGTCCCATCAACTAAATTAGATACAGGTCACAGACTAAACAGATCCTCAAACAAGAAAAACATCTCTTCCTTATCACCCTCCCTTTAGGCTTAAAACTTCTCTCATCACTTGCTAAGAACTACTGATTCTACCTCCAAAACCTCTCCTCAAGTTGTTCTCTTTGCTTGGTATTACCAGTACCAAAATGCAGACCCTCATTATTTTCCACCTACACTATAGCATAGCTGCTTAGTATGCCTCTCATGATCTCAGTTCTCACCCCCTCCAATTCATCTTACACATGCTGAAAGCTTGCAGAGGCACAGCTCTGATCACATTATTCTTCTGTTCAACCTTCTGATTCCCTAAGTAATCACGGATCAGCATACAGGTATCTAAACCAGCCACTCAAAGCTATCCTTGATCTTGACCTCATCTGCCTTCCAAATTCATGCTCCTAGTACTCTCTCCATTTTGTACTTCATGTGCTAGTCAAATTGACCACTTGACACTTGATAAAGATGCCCTACACTTAGGTCTCAAAGCCATTCTTTGAGATGAACTCATTTTTGGAATCAACTCTTCCATCTGTGCTTGCTGAAATCCCACCATCCTTAAAAGGTTCAACCCAAATGCTTTCTCATCCACAAAGCCTTCCCACCTTCCCAAGGCAGACAGTACCTCTTGAACTCTCCCTACTCTTGGATTGTGTTTCCTCTGAATCCAGTAACATTCTCCCTTGGATGCTGCTTATTTATATACTTGTCTACCTCACCTCTAAATTGTAAGTGATAAGCTCTGAGGGAAGGCAAAGTATCTCAATCATCCTTAAGTCCCCTACAGTGCCCTGTGGGAGAACCTTAGGTCAATGCTAAATAAATGTTTACTAAATGGTTAGGAAGAATATGACTCTTAAAAAAACAAAAACAAAAAAGGGCAGACACGTTCTGAAGGAACCTACAATTTCAATAAGCTAGGCCAAGTTCCACCTGCAATACATGTACATAGCAAGTGCTCAATAACTTATGACTACTAAGATTTTAAATGAAAACACTGGCTCCCCACTTTCCAAATATTTCTTCTATGTCTACATATACTGAAAACTCTCTTCAACAATGTCAAGTAGAAGACAATAGTTTGTGAAGAAACAGGTCTGAAGGAGTTCCCTTAATCCTATGCATTTTAAATGAGAAAAAAGTACCATGGTAACAATCACAACTACATTTGCTTGAGTTCCTATAAATTCTAAGCCGATTACTAATTTAACATCATTCTGAAATACTTACAGGAGTAAATGAGAGCAGGAAAGAGAGTTTCATTTCTCTCCTGAGCTGTTTCAACCAGCATCCGAAGTGGGCCTTTTGGACACAAAACAGCTACCAAATCTAGAAAGAGAAAAATAGGAAAAATATTTTAAAAATATATTGGCTAAACTTATAAATTGGTGTGGTAGGGAAGAATTAACCAAGGGAAAAGGTTTAATGTCTTTTTTTACACAACAAGATATTGAATTAATGTGAAAGAAATAGTAGGTAAACTGGTGGGGTAAAAAAAAACCTAAACAAGATACACAAAACCCCACAGAAGACCCTTGCAAATTTCATTTTGGTTTTGTCTATTTAGTTTCTTTACAGTGTATCATCACTGAATTCTAGGAATAAGTCTTCAAAGTTCGAAGAAAACAGGCAGAGATAATAACTAGACAGAATTATTTTAGAGCCACTGTCAATTTCTAGTAAGCAGAAACAAGGACAAGCCATTCCGAAACAAATCATACTTGTGAGCCACAAAAAGCAGCTTTACTCAGGAATTTAATAGAGGGGATTACTGAACTTTTTAAAATATGAAGAGTAGAGGAGAAGAGAATTTGTTCTCTTTTTTTTAAAAACAGTATATATACTATTTGGAGATACTTGAAATAAGAGGGCAGTAAATTTAAACAAAACAAAATAATAAATCTTTACATGATAAAATTTAGTATTTATTTTGTTTTCCTGTCAAAAGCACTTTACAAATATTCAGGTCTCAGAACACACATGGTCCTGGGAAGTGGCTTATTTTACAAAAGCAACAACTCATAGTAGTAGTAGTATGTCTAAATTACTCTTGATTCTACCATCATCTCTTTCCATCAACTGCAATTTTTCTTATACTTTCTCACAAATATTCAGAATATAGAAATACAGAAAATAATTTCAAACACTAAAAAATATAGAACAATTACAATTAGCATGTATAATGTTGGGGGAGGCACAGGGAGGGCTGTGCAACACAAAGACAAGTAGTGACTCTACAGCATCTCACTACGCTGATGGACAGTGACTGTAATGGGGTTTGTGGGGGGGACTTGGTGAGGTGGGGAGAGCCTAGTAAACAATGTTCCTCATGTAATTGTAGATTAATGATACCAAAAAAACCCATATATATATATTATATTTAGCTATACTTGTTCTATAGCTAAATTTGTAAAGGAAGACCTGATAGCTGGTGTTGACATTACTATCACTCAGATACATTTAAGTAAAAAAAAGCCTCATGCCTACAAGTGGTGATGTATTCTCATATATGACTACTCCTATTACCACCACTAATGTAGTAAGACATACACAAAAGAAATCTCTACTCTCACTGCTTCCACTTCTTTTGTTTTGATGAGAAAAGGGAAATGTGCCGAGCTCTGAAATAATGACTTTTCACCCTGTCTGAAGCTGCCATGTCCTATAACTACTATCTTGGTCTTGTGGTTTTGTGATATCCCTGACTCATAGAATTCCTAACTGACAAACTCCCATATTTTTAGAGCAGTTGAAGTGAATGAAAATTTTGTTTTGAAAACTTTAAAACCTTTGTGACAAATTAGAACATCTTGAGACCTTGCAAAAATGGAGTTGAGAATCACTGCTCTAAATATTGGGTACAAATTTATCTTACTTAGCTTGAAATCAATATAATATTGTATATCACCTATACTTCAGTTAAAAAAATGATAGTATCCAAGGGAATGGGGTTGGGGGGGAGTCTCGTATTCAGAGGAACTAAAACTCTGTAGAGATAGTCATTTGTATTATGTGTGGAAGAAATGAGGGTTGAGGGAAGAAATAGTATAATGTAGTACAAAGAATGCTGGACTTGGGATTTAGATTCTATATCAAGCAGTGTGAACTTGGACAAATACGTCACCTCTCTAAACTTTAGGTTTCTTAGCAATAAAACCAGGATAACTGCCTTGCTCACTTCACAGGATCATGTATTTAAAAACAGCTACCATTTAATGATAGATATTGTTCTATGTGTATTATATGCATTGTTTCATTTAATCTTCACAATAACTAAGACTTTGGGGTTGACTATGTGTCTGCAGTCACAGTCATTAAGTAACAGAAGAGTTTGGATTTGAACCCATATAGGCTGCCTGTCTCCAGAAACAGTGCTTTTTCTTTTAAACATAAAAAATGGAACCAGACTATTAAACTCACTCCTGAGGGTATTAGTGATAGAAATACACCATGTTTCGTTTAATCAAATTTTAAAACACACACACACAAAAGTGAAATGGTCACTATTAACAATGTCTGCAACTCCAAAGTGGATAAAGGCCTTTATTATGGCTTTAATATGTGTAACCTTGATTTATATTTTGGTTATCTGTGAGCAAGATACTCTCAGTTGTTTTCCCCAAAGACAGAAACCCTAGATAAATAACTGCTGTTCCTACCCTGACAGAACCAGATGACTAGACCATTGGCAATGGCCCAAAAGTCTTTAAAAATGCACAGATGGAGCCAACTGTTGACAAGAGTGAGATGCTGCCTCAAGTTCAGCTAATTTTGCTGACCCTTGGATCCCATTTTTATTCAAGGATGTCTGTCTGGATTAAGGAACGAAGGGCAGCAGCTCTCCAGTTAAGTTCCACCACGTGCAGTTTTGATGCTGTCTGTAAAGTATACAAACTCCCATTGCTGTTCACTCCTTGATCCCAAAGGGCTCCCATACAGCCTTCGGTCTGAGAGAGTGGAGACCTCCTCTAGCACCCTGTTAACTGGCAAGGGACTAAGGACAGAAGAGGCCACCTTCTTCCACAGGTGGGGTATCTACAAGGGCCCAGACTTAGCTCTATCTTGTAGGTAACATTTAGCAAGGGGGCCCTGGTGGCTACACTGAACTTACGGAATGTGGTCTCCATGGCCCACAAAGTGTTATGGAGCTTCAGAGGTTCTGGGCCTGTGAGATCCTCTGTTTCCAGGAGAGCACAGTCTGCAGTCTGCAACTGCCATTCTAATGGTGATAGCATGAGACAGAAGAGGGCAGTTTCTCATATCAGGAATCCGTGGGCAACTAATCATCATCAATGGGTGATCCAGAGATTCAGGAGGCATGAGACAGGACACTACTGGGAGTGATTGCTGTATTACAATTTGGACAGATCTAGAGCCCTTTGTTGTTGGGGGCCCCAATTCAAGATGGACCAATTTGTAACAGCATAAAGAGGCTTACATAAAATTTGTAAATGAGGAATATGTTCCCTGCAGATCCCCAAAAGCCTAAAAGATTGTAGGCTTGTTTTAACACTGTGGGTATTGAAAGGGTCCATTGCTGTTCCTTGACAGTGTCAGAGATGAAGACTCCTCAGCTTAACAAATAATTTTCAGAAAATTAACCAGGGTGTTAGGGTCTTGGACTATGTACAGGGAAATGCCCATGCCCCCTTTTGAGCTCCTTTGTGAGTATTTTTGTGTCCTCAACAAGCACATCAAATGAATCTCTTCAGAGGGTAATATCAGAGTGATATTGTATCTGTGCCCCTGGACAAAGTTGGATGTGGTTAAGTTAGCCTGCAAAGACTGTGGGCAATGAAGTACCCCATGAGTAGCTAGGTAAAGGCACATTGTGTCCCTTTTGAAGGTGAAAAACATGTAAGTAACTGACTGCAAAGTATTTACCAGTTGCTGATTGGATGGGGGTTAGAATCGGCATTTTTAATCACAGCTATGCAGCAACAGATGAGTACTTTGCAAACCATCAAGTTCTATATAACTTAAGGTCATTATGAAAGTCAGGCATACAGAGCTATGACTTAGAGTTCTATGACCGATTGCTTGCATGTGAGAACAGAACCAGTCCAATTCTATTCTTGGTCAATCAAGAGGGAATGATGAGGTTTCCTACTACAGTCACCTGACATTTTAATAAGCATCTAAACAGGGATAAAAACCATGGTTTAATTATAAGATAGAGACCACATAATGACTTGTGAAAATGGATTTCTCTTTGGGTTTCATGCAGGATGATAGCCACAGATGAAACATCCATACAGCTGCCTTGGTTATTCAGGGCTAGGATACATTCTGACTGTTCAGGAACCATGTCACACTGGTTACTGCATTTGAATCTCACACTGCCCAAATGTCTTATTTTTTAAAGAATAATTATATCCAAATTGCCTTATAAAAAGTAGGTAACCTAATTTTGATTTTAAAAATTAACTATTTATATGTGTCAAGCACTCTGCTAGTGTTTATCAACATATATTCTGAACTCTTACAACTCTTGGAAGCATTGTTCCCATTTTAAAATGAGGAAATTAAAGCTCAAAGAGCCTGAATTACTGTCCTAAGGTCATAAAGATTGTCACTGGTAGAGATATAATTTGAATCTCAGTCTTCTGACCAGAAGTCTGTGGATCCTTCCACTAAATTCATTATGGAGTTAAATAAGGCAGTAATAAAACATTTTAAAAGAACTCAACCTCAAAAAATGGAAATCTTTATATGAAAGATACTACAGCTAATTCATTATTTACTGAAGAGCTATGGGATGTAACTGTTCTTTTCCCAAGTCAAGTCAACTGCAAGAGGAAGGAAAGCACACTGAGGTGTTTCTGTGATGAATAAAATGTCAGTCTTAAGTTTTACCATATACTGAAATCACAGCCAAGATGAGCCACGCTGTCCATTCTGGGAGGTACTTGATAAACACTAGGGCCATGAGGGCACTGATCATAATGAGATATGCCTGCTGGAGTCGCAGTGGACCTTTCCAGTGAATGGCAATCATTCCCACCACACCAAAATTCCAGATCAGAAGTGCAACAGTAATGTAGTCCATGGCAACGTTGTAGGTTTTAAACACTTCCCTGAAAAAAATAAAACACAGATCTAAAAAAGATTTATGTACAACAATTTTCATCAAAACATGTTTAAAACTATGGTTCCCAAATATTAGATATTCATATCCCAACTGTGCCAATATTTAACACTTTTCTTTAAATTAACTTTTTCCTCAAGCTGAGCTTATTTTAACAAAACAGTCTATCATTCACATAAATGGGAAATCAGTATCAAAGACCAAAGCTGTATAAGAAAGTACAAAAAAAATTTTGAAAGGCCATATTCCACCTAAAATGCCATATGTCACTTTGGGAAACCCTAGTGGAAAATATCTTAAAATTGGAAAAATTAAACATGCATAACAAATTTTATAGCTAGGACTTACGATGTTATTTTCATAAAATGAAATTTAGTGCAGCCATTAAAAATACATATTTTATACACATACAAACACAAAATATAGGCATGACACACTGTTAAACCTGAAACAAAAAAGGGATCTCATTTATGTGAAATACTGTATGAGACGGGAGATCAAGAGATTGATGTATTAATTCCTGAAGGATGACAGGACTTAATCTTTGGTTGATGGGAATTTAGTCTTTTTATTTTTCTTTATAGGTTTATAAAATGTCTTTTTCTTTTTTCTTCTTCTTTTTTTAATACAATGAATGTTAAGCATTTTTATAATGAAGAAAAATACTGTGTTAATTTTGGGGAAAAACTGAAGCACCTAAAAATAAAGAGATTACAAGTACAGAAGATGCCCTAGTAACTGAGGGGAAAGAAAGCACTCACTTATTTAAAGCTTAACTTTTGAGTTCCAGGTACTATCCAGAAAGATGATTTTCCTCCCATTTTGAAATTCCCAAAATAAACAATGAAATTTCTAGACAATGTGTATTAAGCATTTTAGATACCCTAGCTCTGAGAAAACAAAACCAAACAAAATCCAAACTGTTATTAATCTTTGGCTAGTAATACACGCATAAAACAGAAAATTCACAACATATACTGTAAAAAGTAAGTTTCCCTCCCCATCCTGTTCCACAGTTCCCCTCTGCAAAGGAAGGCACTATTATTTATTTTTGTATGTATCCTTCCAGAGAATGTTTATACGTACCATATATCTACTCCTCCCTATTAGACACAAATGATAACATATACGCTGTTCTATCCCAGGCTTTTTTCTTATAACAGTTCTCTAGGAGAACTTTCCACATTACAGTATTTACACATTAATGGCTTTATTGGATATGTTTACATAATTTACTTGACCAGTTTTCTGATGGACATTTAAACTGACTCCATTCTTTTGTTATTAGAAATAATGCTGCAATGATTGTCCCTACAAATTACCAGGTTCAGGACATACACAATTTAAAAGTTTATGCTGAACTCTTAATGAAAGCTATTTACCAATATGAGTGTTTATTTCCTGCAACCAAGCTAGATTAGGGTGTTTATCAAATTATTTGACTTTCATTAACTTAATGTATAGTTTTAATTAGCACTAATTTTATGTGGATGTGCATGTTTTCATACATTTAAGAGTAACTTATGTTTGCCTTTTAACTACTTTTTCATATCCTTCATGCCAATTTTTTCTGTTAGGTTATTGGTCTTACTGCCATGTGTAAGTTCTTTATATATAAAGTACATTAGCTTTTATCTATAAAATGAGTTGAAAATATGTTTAACAGTTTGTCATTCACCTTGATTTTGTTCATGGTTTGATCTATTGGTTTTTTGACTTTTGTATAAACGGTCTCTTCTTAATCCAGTGTTGAATATATAACATTGGATTAGGGTATATTAGAAATATATAACAAGTGTGCATTGTTATATATTTATAATGTATAATAAAACTTAAATATGAAAGCAAAACCATGAAGAACTAGAGGAAACCAAAGGGAATGGGGAATCTAAAAATATATATATATGTATATTTTTAAATCTCATTACAAGGTCCTTCCTTAATCCAAAATTTTAATGTATATATGAGCATATATATAAACATACATAAATATGTGTGAATATGTGTGTGCACACATGCACGTGTAAATATATAAACATAAAACATTGGATTAAGGAAGGACCTTTTGTAACTTATTTAGTTCTATCTATCTATCTATCTATCTATCTATCTATCTATCTATCTATCTATCTATTTGATACATAATCTTATGAAGATTTCACATGAGCAACATTGTGGTTTCAACATTCACCCATATTATCAATTCCCACCCCCACCCCATTGTAGTCACTGTCTATCAGTGTAATAAGTATATCTACATATTTTTTAAATTCCCCATTCCCCTCAGTTTCCTCTATTTTTTTTTTATGGTTTCACTTTCACATCTGAATTTTCAATCCATTTGACATTTAACCCTACGGGATAAGGAAAAAATCTGCATTTTTCTCCCAAATGACTGACTACCCAATTATCCCAACACCAATTTCTAGGTAAGCCATCTGTAGCCTACTGATTCTGTACTACCTTTATCATAAGTTCCGTTATGTATCTGAACATTTTTTCTAGTCTTCCTAATCTTTATTACTGGTACAGAAAAAGTTCAGGTTGTCACTATTTTAATTATTATAGTTTTATAATTTCATGTCTGGTATGACCAGTAGCCTTTCATTTCTCTTTTTCAAAACTCTTTGGGATACTTTCCCATACATATTTTTCCAAATAAACTTTAGAATCATCTTGTCCAGACTAAAAATAAATCCTATTTGTATTTTTGAGGGGGTTTATGTTAAATTTTAAAATAAACTTGGAGAGAATTGACATTATGATACCGTCTTTCTGTGTAATCTAGTCTAACATTCCATTTTTTCAGGTCTTCTTTTTAAGCCCTTCAAAGGGACTTAAAAATTACTTAATAGATCTTGCACAAGTTTTGTTTAATCTTAGATATTTTATCTTTTTTGCTACAATAAATGGTATTTTTTTCCTTTCATTATGTTTTCTAACAAGTTGTTTACATGAAGGCTATTGATATGTTTATTAGTTTTGTGTTCAATTACTTTACCAAATTTACTTAGTGATTCTAAATGATTTTTGATTAGTTCTGAAATCAAGTAAACAATCATTTTTCCTTTATTGATTATTTAACCTTCTTTTCCAGCTTGTATAGCTCATTTCTTTGTCTCATTTACTTGTGTTTGCTAGCCCCTCCAGAACAGTGGAGAGGAAACAGTGACAGAGGAAATCACCTTGTTCCTGACCTTAATGGACATGCTTTTAGAGTTTCCCTATGAGGATGATAACTGGCCTTCAGAATGAGATTCATACATTTTACCGTATTAGAGAAGTAAGCATCTATTTGTTTTATTACAGAATTTGATAAAGAACAGGTGTTGAATTTTATCAAATGCCTTTAAGCATTATACAGAGATGATGGCCTACTAATGTGGTGACTTTCAGGGATAGTTCCTAATAATAAACCAGTTTTCCATTCTACAAACAAACTCGACTTGGTCATAATGTACTATTCCTTCAATATGTTGCTGAAGCCTGTTTGTCAATATTTAGTTACTTTTTGGCTTCAATAAATAGGATTTGTCTATAGTTTTCTTTTTCATGATAATTGATACAGGTTTAGTATCAATGTTATGCTAGCTTCATAAAATGAATCTGAAGTTTTTCTTCTTTTTCTATTTTCTGGACAGTTAAAATAGTGTTAAGTTATCCACTCCTTAAGGATTTAGAATTTCCCTATGAAATCATTTAGGCCTAGCATCGTTGTTACTGGGATGGGAACCTCTTCAACAACTTCCTGTTTGTTTGGTTTTTTTTTTTTTTGCTCTATTTTAATTTTCTATTGCTTCAGTGGTCAGTTTTGGTAATTAATTTTTTCCTAGAAAATCATGCATTTCATAGAGATCCTCACGATTGTTCCTTTTGTCTGTGGTTATTTCCCCCACTTCTACCAAAGAATTTACTCTTCGGTTTATTTATTAGTCTTACTGCTTCTGTTCCTAATTTAAGAGCTGATGCAATGGTTTACAAACTGTACTCTGGAGTTGAGAAAGGCCAGGCTGGCAAATCTCTGAGCCTCTTTATTCCCTTCAACAGAGTAGCTCTACTTTTTTCTACTATTACATGTGAAATTTTCATATAAGATTTCATTTGAAAGAACTAAAACCAACAGATGGAACGATATAAAATTTGAAAATCAGTTAATTTAGGTTTACATACATTCTTGAAATTAACAGTCTGCTTCATAGATTTTTACTACAATATTAAATTATTTACTAAAAAGGCTTAGAACTAGTCTTGAGTTCTCTTGGTTCTATTTATTGTAAGAAAGGATCAATAAAAGAATATCCGTATGGATAATACTAACTAGTCTTATGTATACCAAGTGTGACCCACATATGGAAACAATAATTTAAGAGTAAATCATCAGTAAAGTACATGGCTTTAAGTGACAGAGCCCAAATAGTGC